AAGCAAATGTTTCACATTCGGTTTGCACGCTTAATAGCGATAGCGCTATTGCTGTTAATTAAACATGCCTAACATCCACGCTAGCTAGCGTGGATGACCTTTTAGCCAAAATGTTGTCAAAATTTAACAGTAAAAAAAACTTTAACTTACACTGTTTTACACCGTTCATTGATATAAACGTTTTCCGTCTCCTTTTTCCTACTCTAGGACGAAACGAATAACAAGCAAACGTCCGCGCGGAAAGAGAAGAAATCCGCAAGAGAAATTTTGCAGTTTTTCCCATACGACGCAGATAACAAGCTCCTGAAGCAGTGGTAAAATACTATACTTCCTGAAGTACACGTACAGTACTGCGTTAAAGACGTCAACCTTATCAATACCTTATTACAGTGTTATGGATATGGTTGACAAGAGTTTCTTCCAGCAGTTGTTGGCAACCGTTTTTGAGAACCAGACAGTCTTATCCGGAGTGGAGATCATGGATATTCTCAGCCGAATCTTTTATAATCATCTGCCAGTTACGAACTGCACCCACGACTACCCCACTTTTTTCGGGACCGGTCTGTATCCGTGCGTGCCCAGAGGAGCCATGGAGACGGTGTGTTCTGATCACAATGTACTCGTCATGTTTCGCGGTCGGCAAGTGCGGTTACTTGCGAGCGATGATATCCCGGATTTCACCGGCGTACTTCAGGTAGTAATTATCTTGTGCCATCTGACTGGGTAACCTTTAGTGATTTGCAGTTTCTTGTTGTAGAAGAAGCCTTTCTTTTAGGATGCTTATTTTTTTTTTGTTTCAGGCGCGACTGTGCAGTTCGGAGATATTATGTTGCACCATGTTATATCCGCTAGAGGAGCGGAAATTTCTCTTTGCGGGAGAGTACGGGCGAGACTGCAGCTGCCGTAAATGTTCCGACAAATTTGTAAGTAATTTAAACTTTAATACTCATATATTACGTATAAGGCATGTATATGCACTATGCACTATCGAGATAGCGTCTCTGGAACAACTTCATCCGGTTTCGAGCAGATGCAAAACTAAAGCAAACACACAATTCAATGGTTAACCATAACCTTTTAGGATGCTGATATCAACCCTCTGAAATGTGTCACCGATGGATGTACCGAACCTATTCCCAGTGATGAGCGCGCCTTACTTCCCTGTCCGCAGTGCGGTGTGGTCAGTGCCGGCAATCTGCATAAATTCAAAACGTTTATGGCCACAAACCAAGCACTGCTGGAATGTTGTGTGCCGACGACTGACATTAAGAATTATCAGTCGATAGCGATTAACAAAATGACCGTTTTTAAAGAGCTGGAAAGTCTGAACGTTTTGCAACCAGATGCCCATCTGCGCTATACCAGCGGCTGGTGTGTGGCAGGTTTCTATCAGGACAACCAGCGTTACGAAGAGGCATGCAAGCTTTTCCAGGAACTCATCATTTGCATGCGGTGCGTAAATGTTTGCTGAAGTTACTTCTCAGATTTTGGTTGCAATTTGTTAGGATAACAAATTTGTACGAGATCATATTAACGTTTCGACATACAGCAACAATAACTCATAACCTAAGTTTTTCCACTGGGAATTGTGTTAAAATTACGGATTTTAAAGAAGACCGTAGTTGGCCTTTGAATTACAAGACATAAAGTTCTAAACGAGAATCCTCACAAGTTCAGCAGAAAGGTTTCTGTTGTAGGAAGGTGTACCCGAAGTACAACGTGGAGCGCGCTGGGTATCTGTGCCACGCTGCGGATTGTGCACGACAATGGAAGCACTGGTTTTCAAAGCAAGGTTCGCGCTCTGCGCAAGAAACACTTCGTGTGATACCTTTGATAGCGCAGGCGATTTTGGTGGGGATCGACTATTTGAAGGAAGCGCTGATGATCTATGCCAAGATCTGTGGACGGGAATCTAGAGCCACCCATGCAATGGCCAGGAGACTGGAACGACAGAAGGACGCATTAGCTCAAATGCAGCCATTGCTTCCGTATCGGGATGAAATCATAAAATCCAGTAGTTATTGATGCTTTTACATCATTGTCCAATGCGGGATGAATTCGTGCATGTTGACGCGTTTGCGACAATAAGGTTGTAGCAGGGGTATGACTGAAATGTATATAGTTAACGTGCATTTTATGCAACAGCATTCATATCTGTTTTCTGCAGTTCCCTCCTCTTTGGTTGCATTCAGCGCCTTACAATAAGCAGAAATACGGTAAACGTGAAGATAAACAAGTCCATCTGCACTGTGTCAGAATCACTGGGTAAATAACTGGCGTTGAGATATTAGACTGCATTTGCATATTTTTGTTTCTGCCATCCTGAAAGCTTTTGGATGGTTCTGTGCCATGTATTATCAATCTAGTAACTTTTTACCAGATTTGGAGGAACATGATATAACTTACTGGCATAGTTACTATGAATAATAAATCACAAGCAGCCACTGATGACAGTCCAGTGACCAGTTCCTACAGGTCACCATAAAGGTCACACTTATCAGTTAGGCTGAATTTGACTGATCGTCTTCGTCGAGAAACTTGACTAAACGTACAATTAAGCATGCGATCTACACTGTAGTCTTTACATCTTCTCTAATCTTTCAATTGCTTTCAGTGACTTACTTTAGCATAAACACGATAAAGATTTAAACAGTAAATATGCACTTGAATTATTTGGTAAATAGCTAGACCACTTTTACGTATCTGTATGTGTGAAGCGCATTGCGAGGCTAAATCAAAATTTTGTCACAAATTCTATAATGTTATATATACAGATATAGTGAAAACTTGAACTAAATTATAGTGAAAACTTAAACTTAAACTAAACTATTGATATTTTTCTCTGTAGATTGATGACCGTTTGAACGCACTGGGGAAAGAAATCTCGATAGTAGTGCAGCCTTCAGATCTGGTGCTGGCCATCAAGAATCAGCTGAAAACACTGCGCAACTACAAAGATTACTGTTCAGTGATGCTATCACCATCATCGGCACAATGTGGCTCGCTGTGATGCTTTTCCGATGGGGAGAAGTCGGTTTTTCCCGCTTATCCCCTGTTGACGCAGTAAAGCGATCGCATTTCGCCGGGCAGCTTGATGTTCACGACATGAACGAAGATTGTATAAAATTGCAGCTGTTGTGGTCATTTATTTTTCTTTCTGGCATCCTGCTGTGAGACCAGGATCACTAGCGTTCACGTCAGTGGCGCTACGCCTGTGGCGCTACGCCTTAGGATTACGTGTCTGTGTTGTGTCTCTTCTGATTGGCTTGCGTTTTGATAGTGGGCGCGGCATAGCACGTGCTGCACGGTGTTGCACACTGTTGAACGGGCTCTACGTTTTACGATCGAGCTGTGCCGATCACTTGTTGATTTCTGTTGTGCAGATTTTCAATATTATTAAAAGTCAGCGATTTACGGTGCGACGTTTGTGTTTCCGCATAGCTCGCGATCCATATCGTATCGCTCGCTTCCACGGGATAGATTCCGTTTCTGTCTCCGTCTCTGGATCACGGTTGGATCTAGCATTAGATGGTAGCAGAGCCGACAGCGGTTCTCTGATTTGATTTGTGTCAGGCAAAGTTGGCCTGTTATTTGACGTGAAACCCGACCAGTAAGGCACAGGTCTATCCGACAGCAAAGCGCAACACCACAAGCGGTGAACTGCCTCATCTGACGTGGATTTCCAGCTTTGGTTTTCGGTACGGTATCTTCAGCGAAGAACCGTGCTGTTTCCTCAGCTGTGCAAGAGTTCAAGAGTTCAGTTGTCAGCGTTCCTCGGTGTAGAGTCTTCAGCGAAGACCTACACTGGTGTCGCTGATACTCGGCAAGGATTCAGCGAATCCTAAAAGCCGTGGGGCAGAAGCGCCGAAACGCCGAAAGGGGCGCACGGAAAAGACAGATCAGACTCCACCAAACTGGTGTAGAGCGTACAACTACTGCTGCTACGGCACAGCCGGCACAGTAGCCTACTAATAGCGCAAGGCACGCTACGGAACAGCGGCGACGCGGGAGCGGAATTGGAAGAAGAATCTGGATCATCTGGATCATTTCCCCGTGGAACGCGGAACGGACGGACGGTTAACAGGTAGAAAACCGTTATTAATTAAGGGATTGGTCAGCTGGTAAAATTCGCAATTCTTATTGGTCCGTACTGAGCTGAGCGTAAAAGTAGGCGGGGTTTTGCACACGGTGCGCATGTCTGGCCGTTGACCGTGACGTCAGGCTGATTTAAACTTTAAGAGGAGCAACATGATTGGTCGGTTATCTGAGCTGCGACTGGTTGAGATTTGAACTGAATAATTTGAGCTAGCTGACCAATAGGAATGAAGTAAACAACCCGAATGGGGATTTTCCGCTGAACTCTAGTTGTAATGGGAAATTTGATTTGAGATAAGATAATTGAGACGAAAAGTGACCTTTTGAGTTGAGACAAAGGAAGCGTGACCTTTGATCGAATTGAGCTTAAAAGTGACCTTTAACTTGAATTGAGCGGGAAAGTGACCTTTTAACAGAAATTGAGTTGGAAAGTAACCTTTTGAGTTGAATTGAGTCGGAAAGTGACCTTTGAGATCAGAACGTGACCTTCGACTTTGAAAAGTGACCTTCACTGAAAAGTTGGAATTGACCACATTGACTTAGTTACGTGACCTTTATGACCTGAAAGCGACCAATAGTGACCTTTATCGAAGTGAAATTGAAGTGAATAGTAGTACAGCGATATCAGCAGCTGTAGGATTTCATTTGTAAACATGTTCTGAACCGTAAGAACGGCTTCGAAGTTTTGTCTGAAGAGTGACCTTTAGGGCAAATCTCTCGAACTTTTTATCGAAAAAGTGACCCTTAAAACGGGACTTAGTCGAAATTTTTCAACCGAAAAGTGACCTTTACAAAGGACTTGGAAAATTTCGAAGTACGAAGTGACCTTTAGGATAACTGAATAAACCATACAATAACGTGTGTGTGAGAACAATTGGCAGGAGCGTCCAAGTTATCCGATCAACATGGACAAAGACCAAGAGGTACCGACATCCAACAGTAGTCAGGGAAGTAAAAGCTCCCGCAGCTCACAGCAAAGCGCACCGAACCCGTACAAAAAGGACTTGTACCCGTACTCACGTCCAGTTGGACATGAGCGGAACACTCGAGCGCCCAAAGCATTCGAGAAGAAGGATTCACGAGGCTCTGATAGCACTTATCAGAAGGCGCTCGAGGCGGTCGCCAACCAGGAAAGTTCCAGTGACGACCAGAAGCACACTCCCGCACCTACGGCGGGAAGTGATCCGATGAACCAGAATAAGGTCACTGGGGAGGAAAGAGCCACAGAAAGAGGAGCGGATTCAATTGGAGCATCACAGCTGGATGTTACCATTGGCGGAACGAATGAGCAGGATAAAAATGCGAACCTGACTCAAGTGGAAGAGAGAAACACAAAGGTCACCGAAGAGGAACTGGCTGAGCTGGGATTGGATGACCTTTCACTGAACGGTAAAACCGCAGGCGATGACCTTTGGGCAACTCCAATGGTCTCAGATGAGTCAAACGAATCATACTTCACGGATGACGAAGCGACGATGAATATGTCCTTCCAAACTGCGATGAAGGAAGCCGACCGCGCTGAAGGTATGACACGATTTAAGGACATACCAGAGCACCTCATTGAACGGACACAAACTGGAAAGGTCATCAATGTACGACCGCCATCACCGAACAGTCCCACGTCAACTTTGAAAAGACGTGTAAAGGAATTGGAAGAAGAACTCGAAGTGAAGGAAGGTCAGGTGATGAAAAAAAGACAGGAATACCAAACCCAGATGGGATCCCTCAATGCTCGTATTTATGAATTGGAGCAACAACAGGCTTATTTGGAGAACACGGCGGACGAATGGAAGATCAAATACGAGCGCCAAAAAGAACTCGCTGAGGAGTACCTGAAAATGGTAGATGACAGAGAAATGGAAGGTCATCTTGCAGTCAGTGACCTTAACGAGAGTATGTCCGAGGAAACAGCGGAAAGGTCACGGCATTTGGCAGAATTGAAGGACGAATGCGACTCCCTGAAACAAAAGGTCACTGAAGCAGAAGCCAAGAGAGATGATTATGCGACTAAACTTGCCGAGGCTACCCAGCGACTACTGACAAACACTACCGAAGTGTTTAAACTCAGGAATGACCTGAAGCTGCGTGACGAGAATATCGGGATCCTCCAGAAGGAATCATATGATCACCAGAGAAGGGCCGATGAAGCCGCCAGGGTGGCCAAGGAACATGAAGAAGAGAACCAGGCGTTGAAAGAAGATAACCGAAAGGTATCCGAAGAGATCAACGAGTTAAAAGGAACCGTTAAGACAATTGCCGAACAGGGCATGAGGTGGGAGCATGAGGCACACCTCTTGGACGTAAAGGTCACGGCGCTTGGGTTGAAAGATAAAGAATGGCAACAAACAGTTCACCAGAAGACGCAGGAAATCATCAAACTCAACACGGAGCTGATTGATATGACCCAAACGGCGATGACAAGAGAAGATGAGGTCACCCAGTCGAAAAACCAATTGAAAGCATCAGCTGAGGAATACATGATGTTGGAAAGGGATGTGACCCAGTTGGCAGAACACATTAAAAAAGTGGAGAACGACACTGAAAAGGTCATTCAGGAGAAAACATTCCAGCTCCACCAACACATGTTGAAGGTCAAGGAGGAAAATCAGAACTTGAAAACTGAGAGGGAAGAATTCCAGCTGAAAGTCAAACGCCTCGAAGACGAGAATAAGGCCCTCAACATGTCGAACAAACACAAGGATGAACAGCTGTTGCAATACGGAGTCAGAACTGCAACAGTGGAATCACCGTCGCCCAGTTACAGCAAGGCGCAAGAAACGGGCACGGGTAAAAGCTTCCACTTTGAAGTGCCAAAACGAACTGGTACTGGTAAAGGAAGCGTAAAAGCGGAACGAGAAGGAGAAAAGGGCAAAGAAGACAAAGAGCCACCTTCGGAAAGTAACCCGCATATGAGTCGAGGTGACCCTTCACAATTTCCCTCGCACTTTGAAACAAACGTGTTCATTGATGAAGGGCGACGGGACAGACCCTCCAGCCGGCAGGAGCGCCCTAGGAAATCCCGTTATGGAAAAGCGAAACGAAATCAAAGTGATGATGGAAGTAGCGAAGAAGACGATGACCAGAGAGCAGAAAATACAGCGGTGCAATTGATAAAAGCACTCAACTCGATGGCCAGGAAAACACCACTCATGACCTTTGACGGCAGTCGTGACACAGTAAGTGGGTGGACACGATTGGTGAAAGAAACCCAAAGGACTTACCAGCTGACGGACGACCAAATCATGATTGAGATAGCCAGTGCGGTGAAAGGTCCTGCCAAAACCTGGTTCGAAGGAGAAAAGGACATCGCGGCAGAAGATGGAATTGAGTACTCAATAACCGAATGGATGGACAAATTTAAAGATGAATACGGTGACCGAGATGAAGAAGTCCTAGGCTTACGTGAGGCCTACGCAAGGAAATTTGAACTCGGAAAAGAATCGCTTGACCAATACTATCAAGCGATGATGCGGTTTAAGGCAAAGAGAATCATTACTGAGAAACAGGCCGTGGGCTTCCTAATTGAAGGATGTAGGGTGGATAATGAACTCTACAAGGCACTGCGCATACAGAAGTGCAAGACGCCAACGGACGTAAAGGACTTCTTCCGACATTGGGCAACGGGCGAGGAAAAGTATAAGGCGCCGAAAGGTCGACGTAATCAGGAATACGTGACCATCCGGCAAGGCCAAGTGGAAAATGTACCGCAACAGAGGATGACAGCTGCACCAGTCCAACAGCCAGTGGAATACCATGTGGAAACCCCGGTCAGAGAGGTCACGGAAAAGGTAACCTTTATCGACAGTCAGACGGGGCAGCCGATAACCTATGCGATGGTAGCGGCGATACAAGCGGCGGCCCAAGTGAGACCGGCACCCCAGAATGTAATCCCACCGGCACCACAGAATATGGCCCCTATGAATGTAGCGTTACCACAACAAGGAATGGGTAACGGAAACTTTGGCGGAAACGGGTACGGAAACGGAAATTGGAATGGAGGTCAAGGGAACTTCCAGAATCAGGGACAAGGTCAAGGTCAAGGAAACTTCAGAGGAAACCAACAGCAACAAGGGTCACGAACTGAATTCAAGTTTCAGATGATCGACGGATGGGTGGCGAACAATGTACAGATGTGCCAGTACTGTATGTATGGCAATCATCAGACACAGGGATGCAAGTTCGCCAATACACCACCAGAACAGAACCCGAATCTGTTTGCCTTCAGGGAGTGGCAACGCCTCCGAGCCACGGGTGGCTGGCGCCCAGCGGTAGCAAACGGATATGACCTTATCACCCAATGGTACCAGCACAAAGCGAACTTCCAAAACCAACAAGGCAATGGAAATAGTAATTACGGAAATGGAAATGGCGGCGGCCAGAACGGTGGCTACGGCCGTGGTGGCTTCGGCCGCGGCGGCTTCAGAGGAAGGAACAGAGGCTATGGCCGCGGAAATTTCAGAGGAGGCCAGAACAATGGAGGCGGCCAAGGCAACTACCAACAGGGTGGTGGCCAATACAACAACGGCAACGGACAGAATCCTAACCCAGCAAACGATATCGGACAACAACAAGGAAATGTGCAAGGAAATGTGCAGGGCGCGCAACAAGGCGGGGCGCCGGTTCAGGGAAACGGGCAAGATCAGTAGGCACCGGTGAGCCTACTGATCGTCCCGACCCTAAACCACCGGATAAAAATGAAAGGTCACCACTGCAGAATGGTACTGCAGTGAATGTGACCACTACAACGGCTATATGGATGCCGTCAGCGAAAAAGCAAAATGGACCAGCTATATGGATGCCGCAACCACAGGAAACGGCTAGATGGATGCCGCCACAGCAAAGAGAAACGGCTATATGGATGCCGTCACCGCAAAAGGGGAATGGAACGGTTATAAGGATACCGTCACAGAATCAAAGGTCACCGCAGAATGGCACTGCGAGTGGAAATGTTCAAGTGGACAAAAGGTCACCGCAGAATGGTACTGCGAGTGGAAATGTTCAAGTGGATAAAAGGTCACCGCAGAATGGTACTGCGAGTGGAAACGCGCAACGGGACCAAAGGTCACCGCAGAATGGTACTGCGAGTGGAAATTGTCGTGACGGTAGCGCGACACTGCAAAAAGTGCAGCAAAACGAAAGGTCACCGTACTGCAGCGAAGAAGTGTTAGCGCAACGACGCGCACAACGGAACGCAAAGATTAAACAGGCGTTGCTCGATCAGAAGAAACCGCAGAACGATACTGCGAAAGAAGAAAATGTGCAACATGCGAAATTCCGGAAATACTTGGCAGAAAATGATAAAGCAAATGAACCAGGTTGCGACTGTTACGGAGAGATAAAGCCAAAGTTCTGGAATTGTTCAGAGAACGAAGAAGAGAAGTTGATAAGGCAAAAATGGATGGAGCAGAGTATCACTAACAGTAAAGATGAAAGGTCACCTTCTGTTGGAAAAGTCCAAGTGAAAGGTCAAGGAGCAAGTGCGAACGCTAAAGGTCACGATGAAAGTGCCGTGTTAAAAGGTCAAGAAACGGACTTGACACTGCGGACAGCGCAGCAAAAGAATAATGAAATGGCACAGAACTCCGACGACTCACTTGTGGACGCAGTAACACTACAACAGAAGGAGAAGTGGCAAAAAGTGGCCTACAGACTGAATGGCAATCACGGGATGTGGATACCTGTGACGCCGAAAGCAAAGCAGAAAGCGAGAATGTCACAAGAGGACTACTGGGACATGCAACAGTTGCGAACGCAATGTGAAAGAAAGCGACTAGAAGAGTTGGTTACCGGGAAACCAGCGCAAAAGTCACCGAACACAGTCCCAGCATTTGACCCAGCTGAATATAAGAAGACATTCGCTGACGCGAATTATCGACAAAATGCACCGCCAGAGGACAAACCGCCGAATTATGGAGAAAAAGTCCCCATACAAAAGCTGACGGGCGGCGGATTTGTCATGAAGCGCAACGAAAGGTCACAGGACTTAGCGCAAAATGAACAAAAAAGACGGTCAAATAAGATGACGCAAATGCAACAGAGTGGCACAGTTGAAAGGTCACGGGACTTATCGGAGGCACTGCAAAAGGATGCCAATGACAAGTCACCAGCCCGAACAGACGGAATGTCTTCACAAATTGATCAGACGAAAACGAACAATGAAGTGTCCGCGAAGGTGATCGAATGGATGACCGAAAAGGGATATGACATGGTTACATACGAAAGGTCACCAGATGAGACGAAAGATAGTGAAGAAGACGAATTGAAGCGAGCGGACCAAATAACAAGTGAAGTCATTGAGAAGTTGAGGGATAAACGAAATGAAAACCGTAAAGAGGAACTGATCCATCAGACGATAAATGAAGTGACTAAAGGTCACGTGGATAGCACAAAAGCAAATGAGCAAGTGCAGAATGTGCAGAAGCAAACAAATACAGAAAAGCCGCGAAAATACTACGATGTTCGAACTGACGTTCCACACAGGATTGATAAGTTGAGCGAAATACTGAAAGGTCATAGCACTCCAGTAAAAGGACAGGTGCTTCCCGATATGGATCCGGGACCAGTATCGCTGATTCCTGTAAAATGCAAGATTCACACGTTGAAAATTCAAAATGGAAAACAGCCTAAAGGAACTGAAGCGTACACACACGAAGTGAAAGTGGGAGACATAAAGGTCAACGCAATGTTGGACACCGGCGCCGAGACGTCGCTAATCAGCAAACCGTTTTGCGAGAAGAATGGACTTCATATGCTCCCACTACCGCCAGATAGGCTGGTGCGGATAAATGGAATTAGTGGAACGTCAGGTTTCATGGTAACACACTACTGTGTAGCACCGGTGACCTTACGAAAGAAGACAAGCGAACATTCCTTCTACGTCCGACCGAAGTGTGACGACGTACAGGTGTTATTGGGATTTGACTTCTTGGAAAAGAAATTTGTACTGATGGATAACGAAGGCGAAGAAGAAAAAGAAGATGACCCGAAACCAGTTGCTAAAGTACAGGTCGGAAAGGTCACCGAACTTGCAAAACAGGAAAATGGTCAAACGGCCAATAAAACGCTAATCCCAGTACCAGAGGCACCGGGAAAAGAAAAGAAAGAGATGTTTCCAAAAGGATTGTCACCATTTGAACAGCTGCAAATGATTCAACAGGAGATTGAAAACACGTTAAACCGGACAATGCTGACACAAAAGGGAAGAGAAAAGGTCATCCCAGTACCAGAGGCACCGGGAATGACGAGAGTACACCAGAACGAGATTAGCCAACGGATAATCCCGGTACCAGAGGCACCGGAGAAGAAAAGAGAAAGTGGAAAGGTCAAAGAAGTTAACGAAAAGAAAAAGGAACCGCTTGCGCCAGATATGGATGAGGCGATCATATTTCTTCCGGACGGGAGAAGTATGATCGCAGATGACTGTAAGCAAGGAGCCACAGAAAAAGAATGTGTTGAAAAAGTTATCCCAGTACCAGAGGTACTGGAAATAAAGACGGCTAAAGTGGGGAAGGATAAAAAGAGCGAAAGGTTACGAGTTTTGAAACGAATAACTGAAGAGGAACAGATGTTTACGAGCGAAATCCGCAACAAGGCGCTCGAACAGTTGAAAGGTCACAGAACACAAAAAGAACCAGAGGTCATCCTAATATCCTCTGAGGATAAAAGCGTGACTCCGATCGAATGTGAGGAAGATACCACAATACAGGAACAGGTTAAACCTCAAGCGAGTCAAAGGACATTAACTCCAGAAGAACGAGCCGGGAGTTGTCACCACGGTTACTTTGAGGATCCGTGCAGAGTGCAACCACAATGGGAATGCGCGGAGTGTTGTGAAAATGCCTCGAGATGACCTTTTCAGAATGGCCGAAATGTAACACCGCATTAGCAGACCTTGAAGGTCATGCCCAAAAGGAAGTGAAAAGCATCATGCGGACAAACGAATGTGGAAACCACATCGAACGGTATCATTGGAATAGATATCGAACGTGGTTGTCATGTGTGGAAAGTTTTTATAATCGGAAGAGGCAGATGGCTAAACCATTGGTTGCAACGTGTGGAGAAAGGAATCCAAGATCCCCTTGATCCGGTAGCAACCGAAAAGAGATTTGAAAGAGAGATAGAAGAGATGACCGAAGAAGGAGAAATGTGGGAAGAAGCGAGAGTTGACCTTTTCTGGGACTTCCGTGTGAACCACATGTATAAAGGTGAAGGGAGGACGATTATTTTCCCGGCAGGACTTGGTACGCCTGTCTACGAATCACTCGAAGTATATTACAACGCGTTAAAAGAGGGGAACGAAGAAGTATTCCAAAAATACTGGAATAAATTTGAAGAAGAAATCCCCAAATTCGACGTAAAAGAGATGCGAGAACTACAGGTAACCCGGAAAAGAAGGCTACCGGGAATAATGCAAAAGAAAAAGGTGACCTTTGCACCAGATCCAGATGGAGTGGACTACCCAGAACGAGGTGGTGATACGTGGTGCATGTATGAAACGATTCCGAATGATGAATGGGTCACCGAAGAACTGATGGCAAACTGCATTTTCGTCGGTCCCAAACGACCTAAAGGTTACGAAACAGTCCAACAGAATGAAGTCGATAAAGGGACTGTAAAAGAAGCAGACAAAGAGGAACCAGTTGAAGACACGAATGGAATAGTCGAAGGAGGATCGAACGAAACGGAAGAAAGTTCAAAGTCGGCTTTCGATATTGCGCAGATGTTAACGGACAGAATTGAAATGTGGAGAAAGTTTAAAGAAGAAGTGGAGCGAATATCGAATGAACAGCAAAACCCAGTAACTGAGGCAAAAAACGGGGAAAGGCCACTCGATAACGGTGAGGAATGTCCGCCGGTCGAGTTG